CAGTTATCAAGTCAATAATTATTTTAATAAATTTCATAAGATTCGTAATTTTTTAATTATAAATTTCATCATTTTTATTAAAATCTAATTAAATTTGATTTTTATCTAACCAAATAAGGGCAAAGTGTACATTAAAAATTCTTAATTTGAGTGTGACTATTTTATAAATGTTGAATGACAGTTATGAAGGATCATGACAGTTGACCTGATTATGATGTCTCTTCTTTATGCCTTTATTTAGATGATTCCTTGACGTGCTTTATCTCAACAAAATACTGTATTGCTTTCCTTGTACTGATGATGCTTGTCCAAATCAATGTTTAGGCTTTTTTGAAAAATATAAATGGAATTTATTTGTTGTTTGGAGCTTGATGTGTGTTGCTTCGAGGCTCATCAATGGCTCGGGTTCGAGTTTAGACTTCATATAGCTCTTTACGATCTTATGCAACTTTTCAATCAAATATTGTTATTGGAGTACTAATACTGGTGCCGAATTGTTGTTGATTTATCTAATATTCGAATTGTTGAGATTTTAGGGATTGGTCGTACAACTATAATAAAAAGTCGATGATTAATTTATTCATTTTCAAAGGTTGGTGACTAATTTATTACTCGAACCAGAAGTGACTCAATTGAGATTAAATCTATTCAAGCTAGATCCCGACTAAATTTGATCTAAATAGTTCCACACTACATGTTTGTACGTCAAACAAATTAAATTTAATATACTATTTAAAAATAATTTTAGTAGTAGAACAATTTAAGTACAACGCATCATGGCTTTTGTGTCCCAAATCAAACTCATGCCATGGTTGTCTCTATATAGAGCAAGGCACATGATTTGGCCATATCATAAGCACCAAAAATATCCACATTATAGTCATTGAGCTACCCATGTCTCATGTTGGTGGGTGATAAAAAATAAACCATACTCATGATTTTCTTTGAAAAAATTTAATTAAATTTGACTTTAGATCCCTCAAATTTGATGAAAAGACGATTTTAGCTCCAAATTATTAAAAAAAAAAAATTGTATTTTATTCGTAGTGCCTCCCCCGAACTCAATTGTCCAAACTTAAACTCATTACGACAATTGATATATTGTCGTTTGATAAATTTGTTCATCTACCTCTATTTTTGCATTTTTTAAATATTTTTCTATCTCTCAATTTATAATTTTGATCGATCAGGCAAAAATCCGATTATTTTAATTAATTTGCAAGTAGACTATAGCACTCATTTATTAAGACTCATCAAATTCATATGAACTAACTAAATTAATTAAAATGATATGCTAAGAGGAATATGGAATGTTTTGCTTTTCCTGTTGGCACATGAAATTAATTAAAAAAAAAATTCCATTTTAATAATGAGTTGGATATTTAAAAAAAATAAAATTATTCATTTAGTTTTAAAAATTGATTTTGTGGAGTGAATGAATGCTGGTACTAGTTGGTAGAGATCCATCATTCTCTTGAGTCTTGAAAATTCTACTCTAAACAAATTATGCTATTTAAAAAAAAATAAAAATTGAACATAATTATTTCAAACAAACAAAATACACGTTTAAACTCAATCCCATGCGTAAATTATACTTGTCATTGGAAAAGAGAAAAACATATCATGAAGATTTTTTAAAGCGGCAGCATCGTGTCATTTAGTTAAAAGTCGTAGAAAAAATTTCACTAAGCTCTTGTTTGGTTTAGCTTAAAAATCAATTTTTCTTAAAAAAAATTATGATAAAAGTTAAGGGTGTATTTGGTTTGCTGTTTTCGGGCCATTTTTAGTTTTGCAAAACACTGATACATTTTTAATCTGCTATTTTTAAAAAATACATTTTCCAAAACAAGAAAATTTTACTGCATAATACTCAAAACATATTTTTTTGACGTTTAGAATGTTTTCAGTAAAAATTCTGAAAACAATCAAAACATGGAAAATAAGAGTTTAAATAAAATTTAAAAATTTTAAAAAAGTAAAAAAAAATTAATTCTAACGAATAAATTTTAAATCTAAAAAAATAAAATTCATAAATTCTCAAAAATAAAAATTTTAAAAAATTAAATTAAAATTCTGAAAACGTAAAATTATAAAAACTTTTAAAAAATAAAAATTATAAAAAAATAGTTCAAGTTCTTAATAATTATTTATTTAAAACCTTTTTTTTAAACAAATGTAAACAAACACAAATAAAAATATTTTCAATCCCCATTTTTAATTTTTAGTTTCAATAATTTTGAAAATTCAATTTAATATTTTTTTTTAGTTTCGTAGAGAGGAAAAATATTGTAAAATTCACCAATTTTAAAATGTATATATTATTTAATACTATATTAATATAAAATTATTCTATTTTTATTGAATAATCAAATTTATGAAATAAAATATAAAATAATTTTTCAAAAATTTAAACAAAAAATGTTTTCTAGCTTTCTATTTTAAAAAATAATTTTTCAAAATGACAAACTAAATGCTTTTTATAAATCTTAAAATAGACATTCAAATCAGAATATATAAAATGAATTTAAAACTCAAAACTGAAAATCAAAACACAAACCAAACGTGCCCCAATAGAGCCCTTGTTTGATGGCCATCATTTCCAAAAAATGATGTTTTAAATAGTGATTTGTGGAAAGTTTGTAGTTTAAAAATTTTAAAAAAAATATTTTGAATTTAAATGTAAAATATTTTAATGTGTAGATGTATGCTGAAAACGAATATGATAATTAAAGTGCTTCTAAAGAATATGTGTTTAAAAAATTATAAATCTTATAAAATGGGTAGTTACAATTAATTGTTGGTTTTAACTTAAATTTTAATAAATTTTTTTAGTTAAAATAAGAGAATTAAAGGATTTTGCTTTAAAGAATGTGGTTGAAAAATTGTGAATCTTATAAAAATGAATAATTAAAATTAATTGTTGATTTTGACTTAAATTTTAATCAATTTTTTTTAGTGAAACCAAATAGCGTCTAAGCATTAAAGCAAAGAAAATTTACTTTTATTTTAAAATTTCTTCAACTAAATAAATAAAAAATTTCACTATCTTTTTGACTCATCATCTTTCCATAAACAATTGTGTAATGAAGCTTGTTATGTGTATGGTAAATCCATAAATACACTTTGAGAGAATGTTACCTGGCATTTTGTCATTGGTTTTTGCGCCCCCCACCCCACACTCCATCAAAAAAGAAAAAAAAAGTTTTGGCAACCAATCACATTTAGCCAGCAGTGCATCTATTAATAAAGTGGGCAAATAATTCAGTACGACCAAAAAATTCTTAATGTAATTTCATTACTTATAAGTAGCATTATTCAATTTTAATACCTCTAGCCCCAAAAAGGAACACAAAACAGCAAATAAGGTCGGTCAGTCGGTCTAAAATGAGTAGATTTTTGGGATAAATTGCGGTTTCATCCCCAAGCTTTATAAAAAAATTGCCGTTTATCCTTACGTTTGATTTTTGGCAGCATACGTCCCACTATGGCCTGGTTTAATACAAATTAAAATCCAAATCTTAATCTATTTCAAAGCCAATAATTAATTTTAACTACACATTTTAAAAAATTTACAACTTTTTAACTACACATCTCATCGATTTTATCAAAATCTACTAAAAATCTTATTTTAATCCCCACTAAACAAGGGCTAATAGATTCTGTTAAGTTTTGTTGACTTCTTTTTCATGTGAATCAATATTTATTTATTTCGAAAATTAGCATTTATTTATTTATTTTAAATTTTTAGTAAATTTTCTATTTTGGTCACACGAACAAGATAACTGCGAAAGGTAATAGAATCTGTCAATAAATACTTCAATTAGAAGGCACCTAAAAAATAAAAAATAAAAAATACTTATATTTAAGCTTAGCCAAACATGTTCGATAATAAAAGAAAACACGATGGTCCCGTGAGTAGAAATGAAGGCACCTAAAATCGCAACTCACGTCAAAAGTCGCATTTATTATAATTTATTGACTAGTCTCTCTCAGGCCGTCTCTATGTAATTCACCAGCCTTTATTTATTATTTATTGTCAAAAGATGCCAAATGTGACTTGTTTTAAACACAATTAGCATCCCCTTATTTTCAACATTACAAAAATTGAATCGAATCGGTCGACATGGAAAATTGAGAATTGATTTGATTGTTAAATTAGGTGAACTCAAAGCAGCTATCTTTTCATGCGAGTTAGTCGTTAACTCGAACGAATTAATTCACGAGCGGAACAACTCGTCAATAAAATAATAATAATACTTGCAGTAGCTAGCAAGCTGCTAGTCTCGACTAACCTCGCATAATACACCTAATTGAAAGTAATTTTTATCGATTTATTATCTTAATTTAAGTCAAAGTCAATAACAAATTTTAACTATATATTTTACGAGATTCACAACTTTTCAATTAAAATTTTTAATAATTGTCATCAAAATATACTAAATAATTGATTTTAATTCCCAATAGGAACTTTTTTTTTACCATATATATATATATATATATATTTTTTTTTATTTGACGCTTTATCTTTTTTGATAAGGCAGTACTTTTTTTTTCTTTTTTTTTTTAAATACAAATTTAATGTGGGTATATTACACGTACAAAGAGGAATGGGTACAAACAGTAATCCAAATGAAAATAATTTGCCCCTGTTTGGCCCCCATTACGGGGAAAATTTAATGTATAGAATAGTATTTTTTGAAAAATGAGTGGTTGAAAAAGAAAGAAAAATTTTCGATTTACGTATAATATTATTTTATGGAAGATTTTGTAGTTAAAAATAGGAGAGAGAAAAATAGAATCTAATATAATAAAAATCAGGGAAAAAGATTAGAAAGAGAGAGAAACAGAGAACAAAGGTAGAGGAGAGAGAGAGGTGGTCATCATAGAAATTGTACTCATTCTTTAGGGTTTTGATCCAAATGTTAAGGATTGAAAACCCTAAAGAGAAAAAAATAGGAGAGAGAAAAATAGAATCTAATATAATAAAAATCAGGGAAAAAGATTAGAAAGAGAGAGAAACAGAGAACAAAGGTAGAGGAGAGAGAGAGGTGGTCATCATAGAAATTGTACTCATTCTTTAGGGTTTTGATCCAAATGTTAAGGATTGAAAACCCTAAAGAGAAAGTATAATTAAACAAAATCCTTCCTTATCTCTCTTTTGCCTTCTTTACATTGAAACATTCTTGAATTTGCATGCAGCATTGAAGAAAAAACAAGGTTTGTCCAATTTTCTTGATCATTAAGCACATTTTCTCTGTTTCCCAGAAGTTTAATTTTAAATTATGGGCTTGTTTGGAAATTTTATTATGTTATAATGCAAGCAAAATGGATTCTGATCAAAGAAAATTGTTGTGCATTGTTGCTATTGCGGGGGTAATTTGTGGGCTTTTGGGAGCTGTTAACGGTGTCACCAATCAAAATGATTTCAAGATTTTGAATGATTTCAGAAATGGATTGGAAAATCCAGAACTCTTGAAATGGCCTAACAAGGGGAACGATCCCTGTGGCCCTCCTGCATGGCCTCATGTGTTTTGTTCGAATGGCAGAGTCACGCAGATTCAGGTTCAGGGCCTCGAGTTAAAGGGACCTTTGCCTCAGAATTTTAATCAGTTGGACAAACTACAGAATCTTGGGCTTCAAAAGAACCATTTCAATGGAAAATTGCCAAGTTTTAGTGGATTGTCGAATTTGCAATTTGCATACTTGGATAATAATGATTTTGATACGATTCCTGCTGGTTTTTTCCATGGACTTAGTAGTGTTCGCGTTTTGGCTTTGGATAGTAACCCTTTTAATGAGAGTACAGGATGGTCTATACCGGGTGAACTAGCAGAGTCTTTGCAGTTGGCGAATTTTTCTTGCTCGAAATGCAATTTAGTTGGACCTATACCTGATTTTTTTGGGAAGTTGCCATCGCTTACTTCATTGAAATTGGCATATAATAGGTTGACTGGTGATATACCGTCTACTTTTCATGATTCCATGTTGCAGGTTTTGTGGTTGAATGATCAAAGTGGAGGAGGGATGACCGGTTCCATTGATGTAATTGGAACTATAGTTGGGCTAACTCAAGCATGGTTACATGGAAATCAATTCACGGGATCAATTCCAGATGATATTGGGGATTTAACTTCTTTAAGAGATCTTAATCTCAATGGAAATCGGTTTGTTGGGCTAATTCCCCCAACCCTGGCCAATATGAATCTTCAAGAGCTGGACTTGAACAATAACATGTTCATGGGTCCAATTCCAAAGTTTAAAGCAGTAAATTTTAGTTATGCTTCAAATTCGTTCTGTCAATCTGATCCAGGAGAGCAATGTGCTCCTGAAGTCAATGCACTTCTAGATTTTCTTCATGATTTAAATTATCCCCCAAAACTTGCTTCTCAATGGGCAGGTAATGATCCGTGTCAAGGACCTTGGTGGGGGGTCACTTGTAATCCAAATCACCAAGTTTCTATCATAAATTTGCCAAAGCTCGGGCTTAATGGTACACTTAGTCCTTCACTAGTGAACTTACCTTCATTACTCGAAATCCGCTTGGGCGGAAATAATCTACATGGTACAGTTCCTGCAAATTTTACTCTGCTGAGATCATTGAGATTGATGGATTTAAGTGGTAACGATTTTGATCTGCCATTGCCTAGATTTCATGATGGTGTGAAGGTAATCACCGATGGTAATCCAAAAATGGTTGCCAATAGATCCAAGGGATCACCTTTACAATCTGATGGTCGGCCACTGTCCCCTTCTCCAATTAACAGTCCTTCGCCAAGTATGGACTCATCGCCCGACAATCCATCATCAGTTTTGGATTCTCCGCCTTCACCTTCTGGAGGTTCTACATCAGCAAAATCCAAGAGCTCCAAAAATTCCAAACTAGTGGTCATTGTGGCTGCTGCTTCAGGAACCTTTATTGCAGTTCTTTTGGTTATTTGCTGCCTTAAGAAAAGAAAAGAGACAAAAAAGGTTCCCAGTGGCATTGTTATCCATCCTAAGGATTCATCTGATCCAAAAAGTTTGACGAAGATTGCTGTGGCTGGTAATCCTGCCTTCGAGGCTCAAAATACTCCCAGCACTGAGAGTCGAACTAGTGATTGGTTGGAAAAAGATGCTTGTTCGATCGAGGCGGGAAACCTGGTCATTTCAGTTCAGGCGCTTCGCAAGGTGACCAATAATTTTGCACAAGAAAATGAGCTTGGTCGTGGAGGTTTTGGTGCAGTTTACAAGGGAGAATTTGAATCTGGAATGACAATAGCAGTTAAGAGAATGGAAGCTGGTGCAATTAGTAACAAAGCAGTGGATGAGTTCCAGGCAGAAATTGCCGTGCTTTCAAAGGTCCGTCATAGGCATCTGGTATCCCTTTTGGGGTACTCCATCGAAGGAAACGAAAGGCTTTTGATTTATGAATACGTGCCTCAGGGGGCTCTGAGTAGACATCTTTTCCGTTGGAAGAATCTGAATTTAGAACCTTTATCTTGGACGAGAAGGCTTTATATTGCTCTTGATGTTGCTCGAGGAATGGAGTATCTTCACACTTTGGCTCACCAAAGCTTTATACACCGAGATCTCAAATCATCAAACATTCTTCTTGATGACAATTATCGGGCAAAAGTTTCAGACTTCGGATTAGTGAAATTGGCTCCTGACCGAGAGAGGTCTGTTGCAACCAGGTTGGCCGGAACTTTCGGATATCTTGCTCCTGAATATGCTGGTAAGAAAATATTCTTCAAGGGATCCTTGGAACTGACCTTATATTAATTACAAATTTTTTAATCACTTCTTTATTCTTACTTCTCTGTTGATTTGTGTTCTCGTTTTCCTTTCCAGTGACAGGGAAAATTACCACGAAGGTTGATGTATTCAGCTTTGGAGTAGTATTGATGGAGATCTTGACAGGATTAGTGGCACTTGATGAGCAACGCCCCGAAGAAAAGAGATACTTGGCCGAGTGGTTTTGGCAGATAAAATCCAACAAAGAGACGCTTATTTCTTCTATCGATCCTGCTCTTGATGCAAAAGAAGATATATATGAAAGCATTTACGTTATTGCTGAACTGGCTGGACATTGCACTGCACGGGAGCCAAACCATCGCCCTGATATGGGACATGCTGTGAACGTTCTTGCCCAACTGGTCGAGAAATGGAAACCGGTTGAAGAAGCTGATAAGTATTCAGGAATTGACATCACGCTGCCTCTTCCTCAAATGTTGAAGGGGTGGCAAGAAGAAGGAGATTCACAAGATCTATGCGGTACTAGTCAAGACAGCAAAGGGAGTATCCCGGCTAAGCCAGCGGGATTTGCAGATTCGTTCACTTCTGCTGATGCGCGTTGAGTTTAAGGTAGCATTTTGCTGCAATGTTTGTTGCCTTCTCTTAATAAATGTCTTGTCTTAATCATTATACAAGTAACTTTATTTTGTGTATTGGGGGTTTGCTTGAACACTTCTGGCATGTTTGGTAAAAATGATTGGATGGAAATTAACAGCATTCAAGAAGAAATAGAAACTAGTCTCGTTTATTATATATCTATACGATTCAGTCTTGTCTAATACTGCGTACCAAACATGCACTTTGTGATTACACTCAAAGAATGCTTATGTGTGCTATTTTTGTTCTATGCTCTATACATTATCGAGTGTTACACTGCACAATGAAAATGCGCGAAAGTATGCTTAAGCTCTCGGGAGCTGTCATGTCTTAAAAAACTAGACATGTAAAGGGAGTCGCGCCAGCATATTTAGGCACACGGGCCAATGTTTTCCGGCCAGCACGACCTAGCAGTTTCTAAAACTCGTTTACATACTGCATCTCACCCTGGGTGGCCCAGTCGACCTTCCATGTCTAATTCTGACCGAGACAACCCTCTATGTCAAGTGGGTCGTGCCAGTACATTTAGGCATCGGGCCACTTGGGTCCCACCCATACCTGGCAGTTCTTAAATCTGTTTTCGAAACACTTCTGTCCAAGGCTGCAGCCCGGCCATGGCCTGATTTTAAGGTGGGCGGCCCGTGCCTACTTATGACTGAGACTAGCCTCTTTAAATGACTCTAGCCAGGCCGCCCGTGCCTACTTATGACTGAGACTAGCCTCTTTAAATGACTCTAGCCTTGCTGCCAAAGAGTGTCGGCAGATGTTTTTTTGGCCATTATCAATCAAATAATTGTGTCATTATATATATCTATACTTGCATTGAGGACCTCAAGTTTTGGAGGTCCCCTTTGTACCATTTTGTTTCTCGATATTCTTAGACGATTTTATGATATCTTAAAAGTTTGTAGATTGCTCGGTTGAAGTTAGTGAAGTGATCTGTGATGCTCAAGGATGTAGACAACTTTTACCGAAATTCATAAATTTTGTGTTGTCTTTCTTTCTTCCTTCTATAACTATTTCTAGTGAAGGAAAAGAACATACGCTAAGCACGTTATAGGAATCGGACAGAATCAACCAATTTGACTGGGAAAATTGAGTATTCGAGTGAAGATCATATTTGGTTATAAAATAGTAATTCGAAGAAGGAAAAATTACATCATTAGTCTCACAACCCCTTCGAACAATAGCAAATGTGTACATAATCTATTTATTTGGAATTCAAATCTCCACGAATCTTTCATGAGTTCGGTGTTCAAATGACATAGATGTTAATTCTTATCTTTTAGTGCCCGTGAGTTCGTTGAGACAAGGGTTACCCTGACTCAACAAAAGGGATGAAGAAGCCTTGTACATGACGTACCTTTATAGAATGGTTTATTAAAATGACTAATCGACCCTATTTTTATTTCATACAAAAAAATTAAAAAAAAAAATCAATTAAAAGGAAACAAAGTAAAAACAGAGAAAACAAAATAAATAAATAAATAAAAGGGAAGAGGCAATTTCGTCTTCCAATTATCTTGCTGGCCCTTATACCCACCGCTAGTCCTCGCCGGCATAACGTCTCAGCCACGCTCACAAAAGCGAATTTTACGGGGGTGTCCTCAACTCAAATTTTAATAAATTTCTAAATATTTATAAATTCTCATAGATTTTATGGAATTCAATAGAATTTAACAGATTTCATAAGATTTGCATGAATTTCTATTTTGTAAATTTTAATAGATTTTCATGAATTTTATAGATTCTCATGGATTAGTAGACTTCTCTACTATAATAATATAATTCTATTTTTACCTATTCAATTGCCAAAGCAAATCGTTAACTGAACTCTGTAAAAAAATAATAATAATAAGAAATAAATAAAATTTAAATAAAAAGAGCTAGACTTATTGTTACGCCCCTATCTGAACCACTTCGGAAAGTCCACCACCATATCATGCGAGGTATAGAACACTCATCCGAAGTGGTTCCGAAGTGACTTCACCAATGGTGATGATCTGCTATCACACTACGAGGCATAGGTAATCCTGCGGGACTGACCGAAGCTCCCTCGCCCCTGAATCCTAAGCGAAATGCACTCCGGAGGCTTCAGCCAGAGGATCAGCCGCCAATTTCAGAATGAGATATTTGTCAAGATCTTTTTTGCCCCTAAGGTTTAAAGTGATTTGACGTCTTCATGATGCTACGTGACATATCAACTTTATGTCAACTCAACTCGGGAGAAGTAATTACCCGCCCACTCTATAGACGCGGCTGATTGACGCCTATGAGCAGACGTCTCATACCGTTAAGACGTATACACGTGTCCCACATCCAACAGTTTATCCTCACCTATAAATACCCAAGACTTGGCAAGAGGCAAAAGTAATGAAAACTTTTACTACTTAGCACTCCATAGTAAGCAAATATATATTCTCCTCCCCGCTATTTTGCATAACCTTGGTACTGTTCCGATCACCTGAGTCTAACTTGACCTTCGGAGTATATACGGCCGTCGCCACCCCCGCCGATCCTGGCCGTGTGCATCTGACTGTGCCTTAATTGTGCGCAGGGAGGAATACGTGGAGTGGCTATCGACTGGCCACGTGGAGAGTCCAATTTTATCAACAAATTGGCGCCGTCTGTGGGAAACTTCCCATTCAAAGTTCTGCATTCTTCACCGAAGAAATCAACCGAAAACTAGCGACTTACCCTGAAAAGGGCACGTTCTTGAAAAAGAACAAAGTCGAGTTATAACCCAAGTTTTCATCACCTTTGAAAAATGAGATAGAATGAGTTCCAGTCATGAAGACGACAACCCCATGAGAGAGGCCTCTAAAGAAGAGGTGCCCCATAACAATGTCACTTAGCAAAGACCCCATCATCGGCGTCGCCGAGGTGAAAGAACAGCCATGCTCACTGAAGGAATGACTCAAATAGCTGCGGGCATGAGAGACATTGCTGCTCAAAATATGGCGATGCATGAACTTCTCATGCAAGCCCGAGGTCATCGGGGCTCACAAATGCCCCAAGGATCTTACCCTGTGCAGGAAGCCCCTGTATCTTGTTCTCGAGGCCATATGAGTCGGCACAGAGAATGCCCCCTCGAAAGAGAAGTGGACGCAGAAGCCACATCCTATGTGCAAGGAAGCCAGCCAGCAGAACCACAGCTGGCGGACAATTTCCCTCAAGAATATGAGGAACAAAAGTCAGTAAGCGTCTTCGACCGAATAGGGCAGGACCCTAGTAATAGGGTCCGCTCAGTGCGAAGATCGGTTCGGCAAGACCAGGAGCAAGAACATGTGCCTCCTCCTCCTAGAAATAGGAGGGATAGAAGGAACCTAGTCGATTGGGGAAGTTGAGGAGAAGCACCTCCACCTTCCTAGGATATTCAAGATGATGAAGGATCAGATAGGCCTTGTCGATCTTATGAAATTGACGACGATGATGATAACCTCCCTTTCTCAAGGGAGATCCGAAGCTTCCCAATGCTGGCGAACTTCATGCCCCCTAAGATCCCTAAGTATGAAGGAAAAGGGGACCCGGAAAAGCACCTCACCAAGTACATGACGCAGATGAGCCACAGGGGAGCCTCGCCTGCTTTGAAATGCAGAGCCTTCCACTTAACCCTAGGCGGAGTTGCTGAAGTGTGGTATAACAGATTTTCTCCCCTGAGCATTAGGAGTTAGCCAAATTTGAAGAAGGCATTATTGAACCAATACCTCTCACGTAGAGAAGGGAAGGCCCCAGTGCAACGCCTACAAGATATGAGGCAGGCCCCTGGAGAGACGTTGAAAAACTATCTCGCCAGATTTACAGACGAAATCACATACTGCGAACAAGTCACTGACAGAGAAGCCCTTTCAGCTATGAAAGGCGGCCTCAACATGAACACTCTGTTTCGGAAGGACGTGCGCTGCAAGAATCCTACCACCTATGACGAACTGGTGGAAATGATGAGAGTGAAAATCGTCAGTGATGAAATGATTGATCACCGAAACCATGCCGTGCAGGGACTCCCTCCGCCTTAGAGGCAGATAGGTCGAGGACCCGCAGCGCACCTTGTCACTCAGCAACAGACTCAAGCAAGTCATACAATAGCTTCCACTTCCGGATAGGCATTGGCTTCCGTCACATTGAATGCAGTGCTAATATTGGCATACGAGAATGCTCCTGGCGAAGCAAGACCATTCGGAAGAGCTGACAGTAAGAAGAAGAAAAAGAAGAAACGATCAAACGTGCCCTTGGAAAGGGCAAGGTTTTGCACTTTCCACCAACTTTATGGGCATGACACTAGTGAGTGCCGAGACGCTAATCGACGCCCTGATCGAAGCAACCCACATCCTTCTAGTAGGAGCAAATATCCTCGCAGATCCGCCTCCCCGAATAGGGGAGAGAGAGGGCATAGAGAGCAATCACCCCGAAAAAGAGAATCAAGGGACCGAGGACAGTCTAAACAGAGAAATCAGGCCCCATTCTCTGGAAGCCAAGTCATCAGGGAGATCGACACAATCATTGGGGGACCTCACATTGGTGGCAACATTAGAAACGTCCAAATGAATTGCACAAGGGAAGCGGATGACCCGCCAATGATTACCTACATTGTCAACGAGTCACAAGCGGCTAACAAGATGGCCCTAATCACCTTCTCCCGGGAAGATACAGGAGGAGTTCACTACCCCCATTGTGACGCATTGGTTGTAAGAGCCGTAGTGACAAGAAACGGACTCAAACGCATGCTCATCGACAATGGAAGTTCGGTGAACATACTGTTCGGCTCTACCTTCGACAAAATGCAAATTGAACATGAGTTGATCCCCATTCGGATTTACTCGAGACAGCATCGTCCCACGAGGGCGGATCACTCTGCCCGTCGAGATGGGCTCAGCACCCCTAGTGGCTCAACACTTCATGAAATTCTTAGTGGTAGACCACAGATCTGCCTGTCATGGAGTATTGGGCAGACCCGCTTTGAAAGATCTTTGGACCGTCACATTCATCCACTACTTGTGTATGAAATTCCCAACTGAACATGGGATTGCTAAGGTCCGAGGTGACCAGATGGGCTCCAGGGCATGTTACTTGAACTCTCTGAGAAAATCGGAGCCCCGAACTGTTAACGTGATCATAACTGAAGTTGCCAATGAAGCCAGTATGGACGTGAAAATACTCGACGTCCCTGAACAAGGGCATACCT